CCGTGCATTGCTTGCCGGCAACCGTCCAGTGGTTGTTTACGACTTTGTACGCCCCTACTTCAACTTTGCCGTTCTGTGTGTCAGTACTGCCACAGAAATCCTCGGCGCGGGCAGTCGTCACAGCGAGGGCGATGGCGGCAGGAAGCAGGAACTTCATTACAGTTGTCGATTGAGCTTTGGCAGTGCGAGGTAAATCGCAGAATGAACACGAAGGGCTGTTCAGACAACCTGGAATACAGGGACTCCATCACTGCGACACTAGCAACAATACATTCAGATGAAGCAGTGCGGGATGGGACTCGCCAGATTGCTCAAATGATATTTTGATATTGTGATATTCAATTAAACTCCTAGATCAATTTTGTTATACAGTATTATCAGCGCCACGCTTCTTAATTTAATTAACTTATTTATTTAATTAATAGCCACCCCACGATTTGTATAAGATAAAGGAGGTTAATTCCTTTGATGCCTCAGCCATGTTGTTATCATGCCGCCTTTCCAGCAAATCTCGCGAAATGATTATTTTTCTTCGTGTGTACTGCATGTGCGATGCCGCGACCAAGGATTCAAACGCCGATCAAGGAGTCCTTAAGACGACGCGAGTGCATGGGTTCTATAATACTTGTACATGCGCACATTGTTCTCAATTTGCTTATAAAGTGGTCGCGCAGCAGCATCCGTGTCAGAAGCAATCCCCTCGGTAGTAATCCCTAGGCTTAGAATACTGCCTCATCAGCAATAAATTAACGGTTCCCCTTGACCAGTTTCATACAAACTCAAGTTGTTATTCCATCTCACCCCTCAGTTGTAAAAAAGTCAAATATTTCTATTACGGGGTACTTAACTATGAGGGCCAGACTTTGGCACCACAATGCTCGGGCGTTGCACCAAAGCAAAACTCTAAAATAACAAAGGATTTCAGCGGAGCACCACACTAAGAAATTTGGATAAATCACAACGGATTTCGCACGTAACACCAACATTATCGATCATTATATTGATCATACAACTCCGTCCCAAGTTCACGATATCCAAGGGATCAATTAAGCGCCTTGGGACCAACCATGGCCATATTATCGCAACTGCTGATCACTAATGCTTTTAGCGGCTCATTTGCGCATTTACCTTCTATCACGACAGCCCATAGCCGAAGTCCTCCATCTCCGCCAGTTGCCTGCTTGGGTGGAAATATGAAGGACAGGCAACGCCACGGATGTACGCGATGAGTATCTCAACACGTTGCCCCGGTACGCGACGGAGAAAACCAACAAGGTTACGTGCACAATCGATCATTGGCAGGACGTACATGGCGTGGATGCTGCGTTTGAAAACCATACGATGAGCTCAGTTCTCACGAACTGCCGATCACACCGCTGTCTCGCCAACGAAGACGGTGACGAATGCTACTGCCGATATAAGATTAACACGTGCGAGCGTGGGCGAATAAATGTCGTGTACAATCAAGGAGTCCACGTGATGCACGATATTCGAGCCACCTCACCACCACGCACTCGCCTCACAGGACCTATGAAAACAGTCATAGAGGCCAAGTTAGACCTATCTCCGCCGGCTTCGACGCAACAGCTATACGCACACATTTCGTCGGCTTTAGAACGAAATGACCTCAATAGCACAGCTCCGCTAAAACCCAGGTCGACTCATTCCTGCGGCGCTGGAATCACCCTGGTCACGACACTAGCCAAGTCTCAGAAATTGTTGACACTGCGTTGTATGACGTCTTCGGTTTGAGCGACGCAACTCCGCCTCGGGTTGTGTACTTCAGTGATGCTGTCTTCAGCCAGGATCGTTGGGTTTCGCGGGTTGGGGTCGGTACCGCGGACGATCCATTCCATGTTGGCTTGACGTGCTACAAACTACTTCACGACTACGTGCAAGTGCAGCGTGCGTACTCGTTGACCACGTTAATTCACCTTGACAGCATATTCAACACGGTAGCTCAGAAGTATCCTGCGTTTGTGATCGTATATTCGGACAGAGCGGCCACTTCTTTCCATTGGGTACTTTTGTACTTCCCAACGAAAGTTGGAGACGTGGAGTGGTGCCTGCGTGCTTTAAAGCCCGCTATTCAAGAAGCGTTTGGTGAGACATTCGACCCTGAATTCGTTATGAACGACGGTGACAAAGCGGAGGGCAATGCGTTGATGACTGAGCTTCCGTCGGCAACAATATCGATGTGCTGATACCACGTCATTAAGAAGTTGCACACGCTCGGCGTAGACGCTGAACGGAGCGTTGAGGTTTTTGAGCAGCTGTACGATCTGCTCTTCGCCCCACGAGTTGTCTACGATGGGCTGAAGGCTAGCATTGTGGCGATTTGGGAGGATTATCCGAAGAAGAATGCGAAGTATTTAATGGGACAGTACTTAAAAAAATTCCTGGATGAATGGGAGTTTCTGCAATTGGCAGGCATTCTGGACACTCTCGGGCTTTGGGACGACAAATCATCCGCTGGAACAATACCACAAGACATACAAAATTATCAGCAACAATCCTCGGGCTACTCCAAAACAAATGCTACAAGGGATGTCTGACTCTATGCATATCTTCCTAAATGAAAGCCGAGCCTTTGGCGTTTACCCTGAAGCCTCGAATCGCTTGATTAAGCTGTTTGCTTTGCTCAAACCCCACCGAAGTCTATAACCCACGCGTGTACCAACAGGCATCCTCAAACTTCAAGGTTCACCAAGCTTTGCTCGAAACTGATAACTTGAAATTGATCGCCAAGATCAAGCGAGTTAGTTCAGTGAATGACGTCCGCGTCCATACGGTGGGTATGCCCGACGAAGGCTGGCTTCTGGATGTTCAAGAACTCTCGTGTGGATGTCTTTACAACGCCAAGACTGGTATGTGTCTTCACGTACTAGTAGCGGGATTTTATGCCGGTGTTCGCATTCCTTACACAGCTGCACACCCACAGCGCTTTGTTGCTAATATCCACCAACCCCGGAGACGGACCACTTCTGTCCGCCGTGCTTGGAGAACAAATAAAGCAGCCACTGCTCAAAATTCTACTCCCGGCACTAATGCTTCTCGGAGTGACAATTCCGAGGGTGGCGTAACGGAGAGCGAAGGTGATAACTCCATGCAGACGACACAGTACTCTGAAGAACCTAGCCCATCAGCACTTCCACACACGCCCAATGGTCTTTATCCAGATGAGTCGGGGTGCATCGTCCTGAATGTGGCCTGCTGTCAAGACGAAATGGGTCATCAGCTCTAATACGAAATGAACGATCCGTGTACGCTGGCAGAGCTTCAACCTCAAGGTTTATTAAGCCACCGTATCCCATGTCGACGCCTGGAGCTCAACTCAAGCGTCGACGCACCGCCCGAACTGGAAATGACACTAGAAGAAAGCACGAGGATGTGCAGGCATCTCAACAAACACACCGAAGTACACGCCGGCGTTGACTCACCCAGCGCTCAATTTAGTACCAAGAACAGTTGAGAAAGCGGAAACGCTGAGAAGACCGAAGCGATTAGTGTTGGAACGCTCTGCATGACTCTATACCGAGAAGGCTTTCATTTAGGAGCTATACATAGCTGCTACAGACAGAGAGCTAGTACTCCATCCCCATAATTCGAACCATAGCCTTATTACGCTGCAATATTGTTGAAGAGCTTTTAAATGGTCGATATTTTGGATGATCTTTCTGGTGATGTGGCTGTGTGGTGAAGTGACAGTTTGGCTTCTGGGAATAAGGGACTGATTGATGGGAAGTGACCTGATCCAGTTCTGAGACTTGTGGTCGACGACGACGCCTCAGTGATTACGTCATCATCTTTGAAGATTACGTAACCATCGGAGTAGATCGACATGGTGCAATCATTTCGACACGCGATCTACCCTCAAGGATTCGATCTACTGTGGACACATCAACTGATTTGTACCCATGGTAAGTGCCACGCGAACAGGCTACAGTCATTTCGACACGCGATCTACCCTCAAGGATTCG